ACACACACATATGCGCACACACACACATATGCACACACACACATATGCACACACACACACACACACAGGTATTGTGTATCATATATATGTATATGATAAACAATACTGAAATAACTCCAGATATCAAACTCTTAAAACCAGAGACACAACTCAATCTTCATCTTAATTTGACTAAAAAGGGTCAATATTTTAAACTCTTCATTGCTGCCATCTGTAGGTTAACTGTTGCCACTGCAGGTATGGGTACTGAATAAAAATTGCACACCTACTCACTGGTGATTTGTATTTATTGATTTTGCTACTTTTCTTCCATCCATCCATCCATCCATCTATCCATCTTTCAACCAGTTCAGCCTGGAGGAGACGCCACTTCATCACAGGACACACTCTCACACAGTCAAAAACTATTGGAAATTTACAGATGCCCATCACCACAAATGAACTCTATGGGCTGGAACTGGAAACCAGAACTGCATACATATAGAGCAGAGACAGAATTTGAACCCCCTTCCCTGGAAAGGCGAAGACAAAAAGAGCCACGACACCCCCATAAATTAAGTCTTAAGATTTCAATAAACAAACCGCCATGATTATTAGACCTTCAGATACATCACAATTTCCTTCTCCACTCCTCATATTGGCAAAATATAAACTCCCACTGACAGCACATCTCAGGTACCAGTGTCCAGAATCAAATCAAACTGGGGTACATTTGCCAAAATCATGTTTGATGTTTGTTTAGCTATCTAGTAATTATCGATGATGGCTTGATCTGTGTAAATTTTGTTGGTTTTTGCATATGATGTTGTTGAAATTCAACATTTTTCAGGAGCCTAGACAGCACCTCAGTGAGCAGAGGGATTAGAAGTGGGTACTAATGGCTTCCAGTCTCCGAAACCAGCATCTGCAGTCTGCAGGGGGTGCACTTGAGCTGCAACCCAATTGGGCCGTTACCCAAAACTGACTTAAGGGACAGCGTGTAGCTATGGAAGGAGAGCGATGGCAGAGGCTATGCTCTGTCCTGTGTAACAATCGCATGGAGCCAGTGCCCGCATTACCCTGGTATACTCAGCAGGGGGTGCTACTCCCAGGTGACTACCTTTCTGATATGCCCACTCCTCATTAACCTTATCCATCTTCCGGATCTGCTCTGCCTGAGCCTCACCACACCCCACTAAGACCAAGGAAATCCATGCACAAAACTGAGGCTCCCTGCCACTACTGAAATGGTGTCACTGCCGAATCAATGACATGATGGTGGGTGACATGCAGCTAAACACATATTAGCACAAATATGATTCTGACCATTTAAATATACCTATTTAATTAAAAAATGAAATTCCTATTTTGTAACCCAGAACAGTGGAGATTAATTTATTATACAGTATATTAAAACAGAACAAAGACAGCTTTTTGGATGAACAATGTCAGGTTATTACTGTGCTTAAACCAGAATAATTTACTGTGAGAGCCTGCGGGTAGCTTGGAATGGGATGGATAGCTTGGGTTGGCAATATAAGGAACATCTGGGATAAATGCTCCAAAAGCTTTTTAATTACAACTTTTTTGGATATAGCACTGCATGTCAGAGTACATACAGAGGGTGCTGTTGTAATTCTGCATTTTAACATTAACTGGTATTTATTCTCATAGTGGTTCGATGTGGCGTCTTGTACAATGGCTAACCGACGGCTCCATTTGCGGAAACGGGACATGAATGTACTGAGCCTACTGCGCTGCTTAGGTAAAGGATGAAAGCACTTTAGTGATGCTGTAGGTGAAGGTGCAAGGACAGACCTGTCTCTCTACATCACCCTCTCCAGATACGTCACAGTCACCGGGGCTGTGTGTAGGTGAGCCGTCGTGAGGCTGGCAGAGGACAGCTGCAGAGGGGTGAGATGGCATTCAGCAGGGGCCAGTCACATCACAGGTGAATCATGCTAAGGGGCGGCCAGCCATTGCCCTGGCATGTGGTAGATTCGGTGACCCAGAATACCAGGTGAGTGATGACAGGAGGCTCGACACCTCCCTCTCCTGCACTTAGCAGCCCCGCGCAGCATGGTGTCATGACCGCTGCTCAGCCGCACCACCGGGCCCAAACCCTCCTCACCACAGAACCAGTTACCTGCCTAGTTCTAACTCTTATTTGCACCCATATTTCCAGATTTACCCACCGACCCCCAAAAAGCACTCATGGCTTCAGACGCCACCACGTGTGTCAATACCCAAGCCGGACAGTGTGTATTCCTAAGCGTAACGATGGAAGGCGCACAGATACGGACACAAGTTTAGCCCCAGAAAGCCTGATTCAGCCCAGCTTCCCAGACCCTCGCATTTATACCCAACCTGAGCTCGTCTGAAACGTTCATAATCTTACTCTCTAATCTCTTTTCAGTCTTCCAAAGCAGACAGGCACAATTCATTAACCGTCCTTAAAAAAAATGTCCACTGTAAATGTATGAAGTCCTTCCAGGGCTCTGGGTGGGGGAGTCCTTTGGAAAAGCAGGTCCAGTGAAGCCGGGGCTCCTCCATCCGTGCCGGCATGTGGCTGCGTGTGCCGTCACCTCTTCAGCCTCCCCTCTTCTCCCACCGCCCTCCCGTCCTTCATCCCCCAGTCACTTGCACAGGGCTCCTCAGTACATCTTCTGTCGGCTTGGCAACACCGCCTCTTTCAGGAAGGAGAAGACCAGCAGAATTCCCGAACGTTTCCCCCGCTTCCCCTTGGTAAAGTAGTTGGACACGACATCATCTACAGGAATGGAGGAAAGGAGGACAGGTTAGCAACCACAGAAAATGGGCAGTAAAAGGAACAGCGGCAATAACAACAAGAACAACAAGCACCTCACCTTTATTCAAACGACATTAAACACACCCCATTGCCCTGAATCCAAGAGAGTTTTAACAGTTCTGATACGCCGAATGGAGCTGGATAGACTGGCATTTCTAATAATAAATCTAATAAATATTCTTTAGCGAACGGTGGACCTTCAGGAATCACATGACTTACTGAACTCATTTGAATTTGTCACAGCCTCAAAGTGACACACTTTCGCGAAAATGAAACTTTATAAGCAAGTTAATATAGATGTGTTGTTTATTATTACTGCCATACCACATTCTACTCACCCCTTAACATTATCACTCTCATCGCTGCTTAACTAATGCTTACATCCAAAGTGACTTTCAGCTTTACCCATTTATAAACCGAAACTGCTCTGAAGAAACTCAGATTAAGTTCCCTGCTGTGGGCACTACAATAATACCCCCTAAAGCATATTCAAGGGCTAACAGAAAGGCTTCTAATCAGAATCCAAGCACCCCCACAGTGGAATGACAAAAAGAGGCAACTTTGGAGTCCATGTACCAGACCAGCATACTACCTGTGGTGCCACTGCAAAGCAGGTCTGCACCTGGAAGGAGGGACTCACCTCCCTGCTGCATAGTAGAAGGAAGAACATTCTCCCCTGCAGACAGGGACACAAAGAAAGAGAAGGGGATGATCCACAGGCAGATGGTGAAGTAGGCCAGCACCTGAAGGACACAAGACAAGAAATGAGGGAAGGAATTTGTGCTCACATCAAAATTTGCATTTATTTATTTTTATCCAAAGTACCATGCAAACGAGGACCGCTTCGGATCTAAGGGCGGGACCAGCCAGCATCAATTCCACCAACAGTTAGGATTAATTGCCTTACTCGAGTGTTCAATGGGGATAATTACTCTGCTAGCCAATGGATTCTAACCCATAACCATGTGTACATAGATACAGATCCCTAACTGAATGAACAACACCAGCCCACACTTGAGTGCGTTTATGACTGAAGCCGTTACCAACTGCTCTCTGAGACTTTTTTGCTCATAATGAACTGACAGTAAATAGTAACGAGCCAATCAGATTAAACAAACTGCCCTGGAATAACGAAAGAGTTTGTTCAAATAAGAGTTTAACAATAGACATTGGCATGATCTGGCCTTTGACAAATATTGGCACACACAAAAAAAAAATGCATGGGCAGCCAAGGCAAAATACGGTGAATCTCACAAAATAGTCACTTCTGCTTACCTCAGAGAAAGGGTAGTACTCTTCTGCAAAGTACTGGAATGCCATATAGTGGTTCAAGACCACCAACACTACAGAAAGAAAGCACAATGTAATTATACACAACCCACAAAGCTGCACTGACAAAAGACCTACCACTAGTGTATAGTGTAAATTACTACCCCTCTCACCCTCATTGTGATCTGTCTTGTGTGCTGTTGTGTTCTAGGTTGCACATATGGTCATGGAGAATGATATTTCATCTCACTGTACACTTATTGTGCATTGTTGAGATGACAATAAAGCTCTACTCATACTTATATACTATTTACTCCAAGGCCGTGGAGCAAAATAATCACAGGTAACTGCGATAACCAGGCACAGTTCCAGATATTAGCTTGCATGACTGCTGCGATCACGAGTGAAGATACATAGAGTTATCTGCTCACCACAAGAAAGGATGAAATTCGGCGAAGTCAACAAAATGTAAGGGAACGTCTGTAGGAGGCCGAAGTACACCAGGTTGGTGAACAGGCCAACGCCCACCATCAGAGTGGGGAAGCCTTCGAAGAGGTAGAGCCCTACCAGCACTCCTGTGGAGAACTGGGGTGGCAGGGGAGTCAGAACAAGGAATCACATTAAAGTGTGATAGTGAGCAAAAGAAATAATAACATGGGGTTCAAATAGAAGAGATTACTTTTTAGAGATTTGAAAAAGTAATATTTAATAAAGAAACAAAAGAAAGAGAAAGAATGCAGTAGGACTGAGTACTCACCAATATCATGTACTTAATTATTCGACTGGTTGCCACTGTGTACTCTTCTATTAGTTCTGCCAAGTAATACAGTCCAGCAGCTGTGAACACAAATGCATGACGAAAGATAAGTGATGCATGGCCATTACTAAACCATACATGATTGATTTCATAGCAGGTAAAGCATTTATCTGTGGATAAATCATTAATGCGGAGAAAGAAAGCGGACAGCAAAGCGTGCACCCTCCGTGTGACAGGCTGCAAATCTCTCACTCAAAGTAGTGAGGGAAAAGTGTCATGCACTGCCCCGATTTTCGGTACTTAACACTCGATAACAGGGCATGACAAGTAATCACACCCCCTGCGTTTTCAGCGCTGGCCCGCACATGTGACCCAGCCACTCCGAGGCTTAAACGTGTGATCGCTTCTTTCCCCGTTTTCCAGATGCTCCCTAAATATGAAACAGCCTTCGGTTTAGCGCTGTTCCTGGGTTTACCTGCATCAATCAGCAACTTTTCGAAATATTCGTCAACTGAGCAAATGTTAGATACAACAATATCCGAACAGCGCATTTAAGATCATAGGAAATCCTACAAAATCAGGCTAAAACTATTTCTCTTAAATGGATCGATTCATTCGGCTGATGCATAAAAGGACTACCATCCATCCATCCATAACTCTTTATCCAGTTGCAGTGGACCAGGACATTTATCCCAGATAGCAACGTGCACAGGGCAGGGGACACCCTGGACTGCATGCAGGATAAATTCAATTAAAAATTAGATTGGCCTGACTCATATTACACTCGGCCTTTAAGATTTAAATACTTGACATAAGGGCCAATTAAGTGCCAAAAGAAGGGCACGTAGCAGAAGAAAATTAAATACAACGTCTACAATCGGAAAAAGACTCCCTACCGGGTGAACGTGCCTACGTGGACAGTGTCGGAAAGTAACTGGGTTAAAACTCGACTTACAACGGTCTACTTGCGATGAAAATATTATTTATGTTGCAAGGACACTGCGTGGTTTCGACTGCAGACTGACAGGTTGGCATTGTTACGAAATTAATTTACCCCCCTTTTCACATTATTTAAGCGCAGTCTGTCATGCGTCTTAAAGTTACTGACATCAGCTTGTCTGAAAGAATACAACACTAAACATTACAACATGAAACAGGATATCTGATACAGCTTATACAATTACAAAGTATTTTCCAATCACCTGGTTAGCTAACACCCTGATTCAGTCAAATCTGAAATGGTTCGGTTTCTTAATCGTCTGAGAAGGACATTAACCACCATGAATCCATATAAGTGCGTGTAAAATGATTTAGACTGCATGCGATCTTTGTTTTATCTCACTCTTAGACGACATTTCGGATAAATGGCTCAACTACAGGACGCCTGGAGGCCAAAGAAAAGCAGGGCGAGGAGATGAAAAGGGGCGTACAACAGCAGTCAATGGCCACGGCTATTTTAGGTCGCCAACAGTATCAATGGCTACACAACTCACCTATCGCTAGAGTGACGAACGAGATTTGTATCACCAGAGAAAGCCAGCTAAGTAAATAAATAAACCACATCTCTTTTCTAGTAAATCGCCAAATATGACTACAACAGAAAGCAGCAGCTAAATCTAACCACTAAGAAATATTGGGAAGAATGCTTTACTGGTCAAAGTTCCTCCCAGCGACAAGAGGGAAAGAGAGACGAAAGCAGCTGTGGTCAGATGAGCGGCACACGCTGGCATCATTAGCGCCCCCAGTGTTTGGAGGACTTAAAAGCACACGCGAAAATGTGTTGTAGGAGGAAAAGATGTTCAATGACTGCATTAATCAAAGCCTAAATATAGTATTAAGATATATTAAGTGAATCTATATTTACGATCTCTCATGAGTACTCATAAATCACAATTGCCTGTGTTATGTTAACATCCCCATATATAGCTTATGCCATTTTCAAATCTGAATGCTTGAAAAAGCATCCATAGACTTAATTGGTACAAATCATTACATACATCCTTTCTGGCGTCTTCAAACAAAATACAAATTAATGGAGTTTTCTCCTGCAAACATATATTCCTGAATATCTGTGTTTTATATACTGTATGTATGTTTATAATGTGCTATTTTCCTCACTTGTACATCATTTTAGATAAAAGCATCTGCTAATTGTGTAAATGTAAATATAATGTGAATGTTATACACTCTTTATTAGGAGCACGTGTACACTATCTAATGAGCCTGTCATGTGATAGCGACAGCAGCTCAATGTATAAAATTATGCAGGCATTGGTGACTTTGACTGTGGTGTGGATGTTTGTGCCTGAGAGGGTGGTTTGAGTACTTCAGAAACTGCTGATTTCCTGGTATTTTAACAAAATACAGTCTCTAGAAATTACATAAAATGGTGCAAAAAAAAAAACACCCAGTGAGCAGTATTTCTGTTTGGTGGGTGGAAATGTTTTGCTAATGACAGAGGTCAGAGGGGGGATGGCCAAATTGGTTTAGGTTGAAAGGAAGGCTACAATAACTCAAATTTACACTTTTAACACCAGTGGTGAGCAGAAAGGCATCTCTGAATGCACAACACCTTCCTTGAGCTGGATGGGCTACACCAGCAGAAGACCAGATTAAGTCCCTGTCCATAAAATTCACACAATTCACCCATCTTCTAATGGTTACTTCCATCAGGAAAATGTGCCATGTCAAAAGTGAACTTCGATGGCGTCTTCAATCACCAGACCTGACTTGAACAGAGTACCTTTGGGATGTGGTGGAACAGGGAATCTGCAGTGTCAACGTGCATCAGAGAACAACGGCAGCAATTAGGCATTGCAATCATGTGATTGTGGACAAGAATCTCTAAGGAATGGTTCCAGTGTCATGTTGAGTCAACGCAATAAAGAAATCAGGCATTTTTTAGAGCAAAGGAGGGTCCTACACAGTATTAGGTGGTGTTCCTAATGTGGCTGATGAGTGAATACATACATATTAACCAACTGCTATATATGCATGAAGAAGTATAATCTCACATTTCCTCTTTCTTGTACAATCACCCAGTATTATATAATATTAAGTATTAAAGTGGAGTTCATTTCATTTTAAACATACTTTCTTTCTTTCTTTCTTTCTTTATTTATTTATTTGGACATACTAGAATACCTTTTTGTTTCCGGGGAAATGGCATGAAATTTTCAAGCAAACAGAAGAAAAAGTGGCTATCTGGCAAGTGTGCAAAATTAATAAGGAAGAAAAATTGCCGGAGGAGTGAGAAGAACTGCATCCATTTGAGACACTTTTAAGCAAAGGCAAGTCTACAATTGTGTGAAAAGAAATAGTCTCCATAAGACTCTGGACAGCTGCAGGTGAAATTTCTCACCTGCCTGCTTTTAGCTAGATGAGGTGTGAGGGTCTGTGCCTAGAAGTGTAGGAGGAGTGAGGTCTGATCCTTCAGCTGTGCTCGGAGACACGAAAGCCGGGCTACAGAAAGCTCATAATTATTCCAGTTTTGTAGAAATGGGGACCTTCACTCCATTAACAGGGAATTACTCATCCATGTGGTATGTTACGTAAAATCACCATCTAAAATCTGTGCCCCAAGGCAAACTCGGGCATGAGCATGACTCATTTCATATGCGTATAGATATGCAGATGATGTCCTACAATATGTCTAGGCTGCAAAATAGTAGTAGAGGAGCAATATGACGTTATTCTTCAAAGCTTTTTTTTTTTATAAAAAAAATGCTATACAGGACAACAGTGATTTTCAAAGGAGTTTCTGTAAATATTATGAAAGGTTTCCTCTATCCACTTATGTATTGAGCTGACAGTCACTCTATTGTACTCCTCTATGTCCTATTCCCCAAAGCCCTACCCTGCAACCGTAGCATAAGCATTTTACTGTGGTCCTCAGAACACGTGACAATGAAACATGAAACTTGAACTTGCAGCCATAAGGGGCGCCGTCTGAGTAATTTGTGAGTATGAGTGGGTTGGCGCGAACAGCCATTATTGCCCCACCCGGGGACTGGAAGACCCCAGCTACAAAGAGCTGGGCTGAAGGTGTCCAGTGGTGGAGGGGGACAGACACGTGACAAAATAGCATGGGAACCATCAGACTGTTTATTAACATATGCATTGAAGACATAGCTTGGCTTTGGAAATAAAAAAGTACAAATGCTGGAGGTGGTAAAACACAAGGAGCTGTGTTATAATTTTTCAAACATTGTAGGACTGAATGGTAGGAACCGCAAAACGCCAAAACCTAAAGTCCTGTTTGGTGACGGTTGGGAATTGTCACAAGATAATTTGGGTCAAAAAATGATTTGCATTACAGTCTAATATAATGGTTGATGGTTTGATCAGGGCCTCCGTCAGCCCATGTCACCTGCCTCGGGATGAACAGCTATAGCCTTCTGTCCTCGGTAGCTTCTCGGCTCTGCGGCGCTCAGCTATTTTCCCAGATGATACACCCCGAAGCCCTGACGCGGGAATTCCTGTTCTCCCGGTTTTGCTTGAGTCTCCGCAGCACGGGGGCGTTCCCTGCTTCCCTCCCCCAGGGCAGGGAGCTGTTTGCCAGACCGGCTGACTTTTGATCTGGATAGGGGAGGAACAACAGTAAACTATTAAGGAGAAATGATGGTAATGAAGACTTTAAGGGGTGGGGGAGGTCACTGGAAAGTGTGGGTTTTGATGTTATCCGTCAGTCCGGCACAAGATCTATCTTTGACTTAATAACATTCATGATATGTCTATGTAAATTTAGGTTAATCTGGGAAGCTGTAGGCAAAGGATCTGATTTGTTCTGGCATTTAATGGAGATCAGTTGCCTTAGATTCCCTGTTTTTAATGTGAGTCTTCAGGGAAAACACATATGCAATTACCTGGATTATCCTTAGATATTATACTGCTGAAGGGTATAGAGAACTTGTTAGGGAACCCAGTGCAGTTCTGGGACACAGGAGATGAATTGCTCTACATTTATATCTAATTTGTACAATTTGTAGCTAATCTTTAACACTTCACTAAATCCATCTATCTTCCATCCATCCATCCATCCATCCACCTTTTGTGACTGCTTATCCTCCTCATGGTTACAAGGGGTCTGGAGCTAATCCTGGAGACTACGGGTGTAAGGCAGGAACAACCCAGGACGGGGTTCCAACCCCACATGCAGTTACACACCTATGGGCAATTTGGTAACTCCAATTAACCTCAGCATGATTTTGGACATGCTGGGGGGGGGGGACTGGAGTACCCAGTTGAAATCCCAGAACGACATGGGAAGAACATGCAAACTCCACACACATAGAACCATGGTGGAGATTGAACCCTGGTCCCAGAAGTGTGGGGCAACAGTGCAAACCACTGCACCTCCCTGCTGCCCCCATCCATGTTCCAAAACCTCTAAAGTACAGGGTCACTGTGTGCTTGGAGCCTTTCCCAGGTAGCACAATGTACAATGTAGGGGATACCCTGGACGGCAGTCCATCACAGGGCTTACAGGCAAAGCGTCATTCTAGATGGCCGTGTATGAATACATGCATGTAGCCGGAGGAAGTCCTGGTCTTGGTGTGCCTCTGAACATGAGCTCTGTAGTGCCAGTTCTCGTAGAGACAGACAGGCTCACCCTGTGTTGGGCCCAAGGTGGCCCGTTCCTGCTCATCTCCCATGGCTTTCCTCCTTCGAAGCAGCACTGACTGCAGCTCGGCATCCCCAACCTGGTAGTTGATCCTCTTGCGGGACGCCCCTCGCCAGTGGCTCCGCGTAGTCAATGTGTTCTGGGGAAGCCAGCCAATCAGATAACTCAGCTGTCCAGTCACTTTCGTTTACCTGATGTTCCTAGTCAGGTTATATGATGGGGAGTCACTTAGTAGATTTTCCTGATGGGGGGGAGGGGTAAGGGTGTCGCATACAACCACAGATATCTTGGTGGTGGTCAACCGATTGCTGATCAATGATCTAAGGAGCATCTGTCATCTTATTATATTCAAGGAATTTTTGAGGAGCAAGCAGAAAGTGGTCATTTACCAATGAGTGTAGGAATGCCATTTAATTAAAGTGCTCTTACCAACATGCCCTGCAGCTCTTGGACAGCTGACTTTCTTTTCTCATTCTTCTCAACCTGAAATACAACATCACTGGACTGACAAGACACCAGTACTTGTAATGGAGTCCAAGAAGGAAATGAGTTATTCATGATGCACTGGTATAGGAACTGACCGTCCACGCGGAGTCATCTTCTGATCCATACTGGGAGAAAAACAAAGAGAGAGGGGTTGAAATACCACATGCAAGATACCATTCCTCACATCTGAATGAAAGAAAGAAAGAAAAAAAGAAAGAAAGAAAGTAAGAAAGAAAAATATAGAAAGAAAAAGACAAAACGCCTGTTGGTCAGCTAGGAGAAGCCTGTATTTCTATCAGTATCCTAGAGCAGGGATTTTCAACATTTCCAACCATAAGGCCAGCTGTTGACTCTTATTTCCCCCCTGATAATTTTTACCAAGTGGGGAGCAAGCAGGGGTAATAGTGTAAGTCCAATAATCCTATGGCAGACCCTTACGGACCAAACCCATTTATCTAATATAAGTCCAGGACCCAAAAGAGGCCAGACCAGTGGTTGTGAAACCCTGTTTTTGACTATCAGAGGAACTCTGTTCAGCATGGCTATGACAAGATCTGGTAACCAGGAAAACTCTCAAAGTGACCAACAGAAGTCAGTGTCTGATAATATTAAACTTACTCATTTCTTTAAGAGACTGAAAAAATCTGTTTGACTTTTTGTGCGTCAAAGAGCATTTGTGTGAAAGTACAAAACAGTGACAAAAAATGTATTTCTCTAGCACATTGTTTCTTGTAATTATTTCAAGTACAATTACAATTATTTTTTTTGTACCGTTAATCTAGACTTACCTCCTTGTATCACCATCTTGCAGACAGAAGCTACTGGTTTTATCTTGCTTAAATCTAAGAACAGTCGACAGGTGGAGTGTATCTGCTTGGTACCTGTGGCTTCTGGGTGGGTCTCAGCACAATGCCCTTCTTGATGCGCTCCATCATCTCGTCCACCGCTCTTGCCTTCTTGTCTTGTGTTGACAGTGGCCCTGAGGCTTCCCCACACACAGAGGATTGTAAACAGTCTGACCGCCAGAAGGCAGTTAACACATGGGAAATATCTCTCTTGCTTTAGAGCAGTAATTCTCAACCCATGGGTTGAGTCTCGGCAAGTTCTGAAAGGGTTGTGAGGCAGAGCTGGAAATGTAAACATTTTAAAACCAGTAGGCTCCTATGCTGATCCTCAATCAGATTTCCCAGTCCCAGTCCTTGAAATAACCTATATTAATGGGTCTTGGGTCTGCAAACACTTGAGCTGACATGGTAAAAATTGGGTCACGGTGCAAAATAGGTTGAGAAGAGTTAATTTTATTCCTTATGCTCCTGGAATTCTATATGATATGGTGCTTTTCCAATAGCATACAGGAACCAGGCCACACCTGATACCATACTGTGAAGAGAGACTAGTTACAGTGCAGTTCCACCTCGCGTCGGATTTCCACTGCAGCAAGGTCAGCTTTGTAAAGGCGTTACTGGGTTTGAAGAGCGACAGTGATGTAAAACCGAAGAGATGCCTATTTACTGTTCACACAGTGTACATCATGATTTACTATGTGCTAATTTCCACTGGCACATCTGTAAGAATCACCTTGTTATGTAAGCATTAAATGCTAGTGGAATTAGCATTAGCTTTTGTAAATTTGTATTATGAATTTGGTCTTCTATACTACTGTATAGTACTTCCGAGTTATCGAGAATGCATCAATATATCACAATGTGCGATACAACTAATAATGAATGATGCATAGAACATGCCATTTTTTCCTTTAGATAATCCATGCATATCGACGCAGATCACCAGCGTCTCTGTGCATTTCGACTAATCAGATGATGGTGAGCATCCAGCTCGGTTTATGCACAGTTTCGGTCCTGCTGGTAAGCAGGGTTATGTCAGCGCAGGTACGGTTCGACTAAGGCTTGCATAATTTACAATGGAAAACAGTTTCTACTGTACACAGTACAGCTCTGGTATAGCTCGGTTCTTAGTGACAGTGGAAAAGCACCATAGGTTCCCCTCATATGGCTTTACTCTGAAGGAAGAAATGGAACAGATCTCGCCAACCTGAGGATGGTGGTGCTTCATGCTGATGTGGCACGGCCCAGAGAAGCAAAGAACTAAAATGACGAGCATATATACTTACGCTTCACCTCTTTGTTTCCAGTAGAACTCTTCCTCCTGTTTCTCAGGGCATCCAGGGGGCTGGTCAGGAAGACATGAACCTAAGTAACTGATCAAATGCCTATCGGCAACTTAGAATGATGCACAGTACCATTCAATCAGCAATTTTTTTATGATCATGGACTTATTAACATTTCTTTCAACACCTATAAGGCTAACATATAGCTAATTTAGCTAAGTGAGATATACTCACTCCAAGTTGCTTTGAGTTGAAGCCGGTGGAGGAGGCGGAGGGGGAGGAGGCGGTGGGGGCGGAGGCGGAGGCGGAGGGCCAGGGCTTGAGACTTGCTCCTTTTCTGTTGCTGCCTGTGGTGACGCCACAGCTTCCTTCTGCTTCTCCTCTAGGTGTCGCACTGGGAAATAAACGAGTGTTAAAAAAGAGTGTTAAAGGCACTTTGGTGTATATGTCTTATGCTGAGGGGGGTCGCGGTTTGTGGTTGGTGATGTATGCATTCATGCATGTATAAGGCATGTATACATCCAGGTATGTACAAAGCATGTAGACATTCAGGCATGTATAAGGCATGTATGGATTTATGCATGCATAAAGCATGTATGCATTAAGGCACGTATTAGACATGTATACATTCATGCGTGTACAAAGCATGTATAGATTCAGGCGTGTACAAAGCATGTATACATTTAGGCATGTATAAAGCATGTATGCATTCATGCATGTATAAGTCATATATACATTCAGGCATGTATAGGGCATGTAAAAGGCATGTATACATTCATGCATGTATAAGGCTTGTATACAGTACATTCAGGAAAGACACTGCTTGCCTAACCTGCAGGCTAGTTGCAAAATTTTAAGAAACAAATGAAGTTGATAAATGAAATAACATAACTTAAGTATAACTAAAAAAAAAAAGTCTCCGATAAAGAGTGAATGATGACTTGTAAGTGAGATGAGGAGCAGAGGTGTAACAGGTAGGTACCCTCCTCCTGTAGCTTAGCAACCGTGCTCTGGGCATCACTCAGCTGGGCCTCCAGTGCTCTCCGCTCTGTCTCACTTGATGCTAGCTGCTCCAAAATGTTCTGGAGCTCTGCATTGGTACTTCCTTCCTCCGGGGCAGCTTGTGACTACAGCAGGTATATACCCGGGGTGGTGTTATTACAGTGATCAGTATACACATGATTATGAGAATACACCAGCCTAGGATGCTGCCTCTTTTATCCAAACACACATGAATTTACCTGGTTCTGGTAACGGAGCTGAATGTCCTCAAGAATCCTTGTAATCTGGGCCACCTGTGTCAAGGCCTGCTGGAGCTGTGGCCCCATCTCTGTGCTTGGTAATGTCTCTGTGCTTGATAATGTCTCTGTGCCCTGTTTCTGCACCTCCTGCTGCTGAACCAGCACCTACGATGACAGCCAATTAACAGTTCAATCGGTAACACTTTATTTGAGGGGGCACAAATACTTAATAGCAAAGTACAAATCATGAACAAAATAATTAATATAGTAGGTACTTGAGATAAGATGTGTCACAGTTCCTTAATGACAAATAGAAGATCAGTATTTATACTGGTCACCATATCTTAAAAAGGACATAGCGGCCTTAGAAAAGGTGCAGCGTAGGGCCACAAGAATGATTCCTGGTCTTAGAGGAATGTCATACGAGGAAAGGTTATTTGAGCTAAATCTGTTCAGCCTCACGCAAAGGAGACTGAGGGAGGACATGATCCAGGTCTATAAGATTCTAACAGGTTTGGATGCTGTTCAACCGAATAGTTACTTCAGCATTAGTTCCAATACAAGAACTCGTGGCCATAGGTGGAAATTAGCGGGAGAACATTTCAAACTGGATTTAAGGAAGCACTTCTTTACACAGC